TTTTTTTTTTTTTTTTTTTTTTTTTTTTTTTTTTTTTTTTCATAATTGAGTTTTTAAAAACAACAAAACTTCCATTACAGGAGCTGCTGCCACTGTACAGTTTTTCTCTTCCTCCACATTTCTTTAATACTGATCATCTCCCACGGATGAGCCACACTTCTCTCACTAGACACTTTTAGGAGCTGAGGATAGAGGCCAACAGTACAAAGAAGATTCCTGCTTTTATGAACTTGAGCTCTACAAACAAACATAGAAACAACAACAACAAAAATGTCAGCAGCATGGCTCCTTGCAAAGACAACAGACCTACTTTATCTTGGGTTGTCACAATGATAACCTAGAACTTATTGATACAGAGGTGTCCACGGAGATATCCAGGCAGAGAAATTCTGTCACTCCTCAGCTGAAAATTGTTTAGTGGCTTCTTTGCATTTACGAGAAATCAATTCGTTCGGTGCTCAGGAGCACCTGGTAAGGTTATCGCCGAGGCTGACCCTGTCTCTCATCTGCCTTCTTCATCTTTATATCTGTCACGTCACTAGCAGCTGCTCAATAAACAGCCACTAGGTGAACACTAACTTGAGAAAAAGGGAGAGATATTTAACAAATATACAAGCCTGGACTGGTGCTACCCAACAGAAATATACAGTGAGGCAAATATGTAGGTTCCCCATAGGTAGATTAGGAAAGTAAGTGAAGGGGATGGAGAGATGGCTTAACATCAGAGGCCACTTCCGTAGAACAGTGTTTGGTTCTCAGCATTCATGTCAGGTGGCTCAAAGCTCTAGCTACAGGAGTCTGGTGCCCTCTCCTGGCTTCCATGGAACACATGTGGCACATCGTTAAAAAGGAGACGGGAACTGGTGGCCCATACCTTTTTTTTTAATTTTTAAAAACTTTGGTTATTTGTGAACTTCACGTCATGCGCCCCAATCCCACTCATCTCCCTGTCCCTTCATACCCACTCTCTGCTGCCGCAACCTCCCCCCAAAATAAAGTAAAATAAATAAATAAGCAAAACAACAACAAAAATCTGGTAGAGGCTACAGTGTGTTCCACAGTATGCCCTTTTGTTCACACATCTTTACTTGCAAATGTCCATTGCAGTGAATCATTGGTCTGGCATGAGGCGTCTGACTTCGGCTACACTGTCCTACTGGATCCTCACTGGGACTCCTGTCATATATCCTGTTGTTGCTGTGTCCTGGAGACCCTGCAGCTTTGGATCCTCAGGACTGGCCCTTTCATGAGCTCCAGCAGATCACAGATGGGGCAGATGTTGGGGTTTGCCAACTCAAAACCCTGGATCTGGACCTGGGTACTAAATGAATTGGTCAGCCCACCAACTGTCCTGTACCACACCACCAGGGCGAGCTCTGGCGCTACCCTCACTAGCTCTCTTAATGCCACCAGGGCCAGATCTAATGTGCTGGGGGGGGGGGGGGAAGAGGCAGAAGGTATTTCTCCCAGGTCATGCACACCTTTAATCCCAGCACTCAGTAGGCACAGCAGGCAGATATCTGAGTGTGAGGCCAACCTTGTCTATGGAGTAAGTTCCAGGATAGCCAAGGCTAGACAGAAAAACCCTATCTCAAACAAACAAACAAACAACAACAAAACTTTTAAAAGGAAAATAAAATTAAACAGGATTATGCCATTGTTTAAAAACATCACACACAATACTCACTTTTTAAAACATTTGTTAATTTTATTATTTTATGTGTATGAGTATTTTGTCTGTAGGTGTACCCTGTGTGTGCCTGTCCTTGGAGGTCAGAAGAGGGCGTTGGATCCCCTAGGACTGGAGTTACAGGTGGTCATGACCCCCCATTTGGGTGCTGATCATCAAACCCAAGCCTCTGTAAGAGTAACAAGTGCTTAACTGCAGCACCAACTCTCCCGCACAACTTCTCAGTACAAATAAAATCGAGGTTTTGTTTTGTTTTTTGAGATAGGGTCTCATGTAGAACAAACTAGATATATATATAGTGGAGGATAGCTTCGAACTCCTGATCAGCCTCAACCTGCCTGGGATCACAGGCAAGCCCACCAGGCCCAGAGCTTGCTGCCTGGGAATGGAAACCAGGGCTTCAGTACCATTAAGCTGGCAATCTACAGAGCTATATTCCAGCTCCCAAACTGAGATCTTTTCTTTTTTTTTTTTTTTCCACTCTAAATCTAGTGTGTTTCACCTTCCAGTTTGGACTGACCACATTTCATAAGCGATCAGCAGCCACATGTGGCTACTTCTTCAGAGAGGTCCTCCACCCACTTACCCAGAAGTCATCTCCTTAACAACTTACCAGCTTTTTTTGTCCAAAAAACAAAAACAAAACTCTTAACTTTTATCTATTATGATGTGTGGGCATAGCGTGTGTCAGCATCTATTTATAATATGTGTTAATGCAGATCTGCGCAAGTGGAGGTCAGAGAACTACTTTCCAGACCAAACTCTCTTTCCACCATGGGTTCCAGAGACCAAACTCAAGTAGGGTATTTTTACCCCGTGAGCCATCCCTGCTGGTTCCTTACTAGGTTTTTGAGACAGGGTGTCTGTCATGTAGCCCAGGCTAGCCTCCAACTCCCTAGGTAGCTGATGCTGTCCTTGACCTCCACCTCCCCGAGGCTGGCCTTACAGGCTCGTGCCACCAGGCTGGCAGCACCACTTTAGCAGTTTGTATTCTTTGAGCCCTCCCTGGTATCTGCAATGAACCCAGAAGCCTGGAAAGTGGCTGAGGCCCGGCCCACGACAGCTCGCAGGCTCTGGCCCCGTGGCCGCGGGGAGGAGCCTTCAGGCCCCGGGCTGGCGGGGACGCGCTGCGCGGGCTCCGCGGGTCATGGCGGACCTCACGGTATGCGCGTTCCTCACCAAGGTGCTGTGCGCTCACGGTGGCCGCATGTTCCTGCAGGACCTGCGCGGCCACGTGGAGCTGTCGGAGGCGAAGCTGCGGGCCGTGCTGCGGCGCGCGGGCCCCGAGCGCTTCCTGCTGCAGGAGGTGGAGCTGCGCGACGGCCCGTGGGACGCGGAGGCTGAGGTGGCGGTGGGCGCGGGCTCGGGCTCGGGCGGCGGCGCCACGGCCTGCAGGGTGGTGGCCGTGTCCTCCGCGCGCCTCTGCGCCCGCTACCAGCGCGGGGAGTGCCAGGCCTGCGACCAGCTGCACTTGTGTCGCCGCCACATGCTGGGCAAGTGCCCCCACCGCGACTGCTGGTGAGAGGAGGAGTCCTCGGTCCCCAGCGGGGTAGTGGGTGAGGGCGGGCGGGCGGCACCGGATGCTACTCGGCGAGCCAGCTGGTGGGATGGGGAAAAGGCCTTCGCGCAGGCCGCTCCTGTGCTGCTTATCGGATAACATGGAAGGGCCTCTCCATTGAGGTTTACTATTCACCCCTCTCCAATTGCTGTCGCTGCCCCAGAATGCTAGCATGCTCCGCAACACCAGCCAGGTTTTAAATCCGTGTCCTGACTTTTCAGTTCACTTATGCCAAGTGCCACATTGAGAGACATCTGAGGGCCCCATGGCCCGCGGAACTTATATTTCCTTCTCTCCTTCCTTCAATAATCACAGCCCATTGGGGTTAAAAAGCTGGTCTAGTCCAACCTCAGGAAACTGGTGGCTGGTGGCCGGATGGGGTGAGTGAGGGAGGGCCTGGCAGCTACATAGCCCAAGCACCCCTCCCAAGCCCAGTGCTTTACAGCGGCGTTATGATGCTTTCTTTGTAGTGTTTGGACAGTGAGAGATCAGCAGCTGTTGTTGGACTGAAGATAAAGTTTTAATCTCTACAAAACAGATGAGTAACCTCAGCTAAGACTCAGGGTAGGGGACTTACCCTGGCCTTATAGATAACCACTGAACAGGAAAGTGACTCTGGAAATGGAGTTGCCTCAGCCCTAATTTTTTATCAGTACTTGGGGAATTCACATGTAAGTTGGAAATGCCCTAGGCAAAGAATTAGACCTACCAGCCTCTTCTCTCTTCTTGACCAGAGCGTCTGACCGCTCTGAACTCTTTTTAGGTCTACCTGTGCTCTGTCCCATGATATCCACACACCTTTCAACGTCCAAGTCCTGAAAAACCACGGGCTTTTTGGGCTCAACGAAGCACAGCTTCGAACCCTGCTTTTGCAGAATGACCCTTGCCTTTTCCCAGAGGTAAGTCCCTGAGAATCGCGGTCCTGAAGTCCTTTGCGCCAGCTCTTTCTCACAACGGGTATGTTTGTTTTGTTTCCTTGAGAGAGGATCTTAAATCGCCCAGATGGGAAGTGAACTTTCTATTGAGCTGTGGCTGTTTTTCTGCAAATTCCCAGGTTATAGGCAACCTCCTCCCACTGCCACCAGAAGTTGATTTTAATTGCTTTGAAGTCCTGTGATTTGGTTCCAAATACTTAAAAAGTACCCATTTTTAATTGCTGTAATGGTAAAATTAGCACATTTGTTTCTATTTATGTGAAGAATTTGTTAACAAAATAATAATGTCAAATGAAAAATTTATGATACTACCGATAAAATAATTTTTTTAAGCTGCTGTGCTCATTCTGTCAGAGGAAGGGAAGAGACACTTAGCTCCAGGACATTTCCCTCCACAGCCTCAGGCATTTCCTTATTTTTGAGGGACCTCAACCCAGATAAAATCAGATCTCTGGCTTCAAAGCAGAAAAGAACTTTAGGGAGCGCTCATATGAAGTAGGTTTATTAATAGAATTTAAAAATTAGATGCATTTACTGGTGAGGTTTATTGGGGGTTTGGTTGGGTGAAGTGAACAATGCGCATCTGGGTGGAAATGAATCCCTGTAGCTGCAGGGGGACGTTCTGAAGGCTTGCGACCTGCCAGTGAGCTCCAGTCCAAATAACTCCACTCACTGAAACCCTGTCTAAAAAAACAAACAAAAAAACTGTAAAATATCATTTAACCAAATTTGATTGACTGTTGAAAAAAAAGGAAGAAAAGAAAAAAGAAAGGCAAAAATAGATAAGTGTGATGGTACAAACTTGAAATTCTCTAGATGCAGAAGGATTAAGAGTTCTGGGCCAGCCTGGGCTAGATAGCAAGATCTTCACTTGAAAATGAAGCAAACCCAAACCAAGATAAAACAAAGGTAAACTGTGGCAAGGACGCTGAACTCTCATACATTGTTGGTGAGATTGTAAATTAGCATGAGCGTGAAACAACGAGGGAATGGAGGCTTGTGGGCTTACTCCTGTAATCCCAGCATTCAGCTGAGGCAAAAGAATTACAGACCTTGCTGCAAAACAACTCGAGGACCAGAGACCTAGCTCAGCTCCTAGAATGCTTGTCCAGCATGGGAAAGCTCTGAGTTCAACCCCCAGCAATGCACAAAAAAACAGGTTTGGAGGCACTTCTGATCCCCCGTCCCTATCTCCCTATCTCCCTAATGATTGCAGGTATGTACCAGCATGCCCAGGTTTATGCAGTGCTGGGGGTCGAACCCAGGACTGCATGTGTGTTAGACAAGCTCTCTCTCTCCCAACACACATGTTGGACAGTATACCTATAACTTCAGCCCCAGAAGATCTTTGGACACCTGAATTCCTGCACACACACACACACACACACACTTCTCTTTTCAAAGTGGCAGGTGTAGTGGAATACCCTGTAGTCATAGTACTGTGGAGGAGACAGGGGAACCCTGGGGCCTGCTGACCAGCCTATCTGAATCGGTGGGCTCCAAGTTCCATTACAGAGCCTGTCTCAAACACTGAAGCAGAGGGTGATTAAAGAGCACACGCAGTGCTGACCTCTGGCCTTCACACACGTGCACATACATGCATCCCTCCCCCAGAGGTGCCATTAAACTTCTAATTTAGTAGAGAACCTAAAGCTTATTAGTTTAAAGGTACTAGTGAAAACTCATTCAAGCATTGCTTCCCTTCTGTCTTAGGTCTGTTTACTGTACAACAAAGGTGGTGATGTCTTGTATGGTTATTGCAACCTAAAGGATAAGTGCAACAAGTTTCATGTGTGCAAATCCTATGTCCGGGGTGAATGCACACTTCAGACCTGCAAGCGGTCCCACCAGCTCATTCAAGATGCTACTCTGAAGTTGCTAGAGGACCAAGAGCTGAGTGTTTCAAGTGTCGTGAATTTCCAGATAATCTCTGTCTACAAACATATGAAGCTGCACAAGATGCTTGAAGACAAAGGTAGGCATGGAACCATCAGTGCGGAGTTGTACTAGGATTCTCTGTTCTGGGCGGTAGGAGGAACAGTGGATGGAAGTGAGTCTGGAGGCAAAACATTTCCTTTGCTAATTGCAGCTTGGACTGTCAACATTTTATGTATTTATTTTTTATTGTGTGTATGTATACATGTGGGGGGGGGAGAAGGAGAAGAGTATCAGATCCCTTGGAGGGGTCTGTGAGCCCTGATAGAGGTGCTGGGGTCTGATAAACCTTATTGAAGGCACGGAAATGAGCTAATGCAAGAGAAGTTAAAGTATGTAAATGCAGGTTTATTGGGAGCAGCTCTAGGCCACCATACAGGAGAGGAACAGAGAGACAGACAAACAGAGAGAGAGAATGGAAGAAGAGAAGGAAGAGGAGAGATGCAAAAAGAGAGATCGAGGAGAGTGAGAGAAGAGAGGGGAACCAAAACATCTGGATTCTATAGTGATGGGGGAGAAGAACCCTCCCCCTGGGCTGGAAAGTTTAGGGTAGAGGGCCAGGTATGGTAGCCATGCCGTGCAGTAGGTAGGGACTAAGGATGCTGGGAGAAGCCCAACAGGATCTGCATTCAGGACCTTGTGATTACAGCAGCAAGTGCTTTTAATCACTGAGCCATGTTTCTAGCCCTAGTTAACAGTGTATGATATGGAAATATGATTTTAACCAAAGAACTGATTTTGCCTAGTTGAAGAATTTGCCCAAGTTTTTTTTTTGTTGTTGTTGTTGTTGTTGTTGGGTGTTTTGTTTCGTTTTGAGACAGGGTTTCTCTGTGTAGCCTTGGCTGTCCTGGACTCGCTTTGAGGCTGGCCTCAAACTCACAGAGATCCTGATGCTCCTGCCTCCCAGGAGCTGTAATTACAGGCAAGCCACCATGCCTGGCCTGATCTGCCTGATCTCTTAATACCGGGATCATAGGCGTATACCACCGAGCCTGGCCGAATAATAGTTTAGCTGGGAACATGGAAGGGAAATGGCAGGTGAAGAAAATGAACATTTGATTTTCTTTTGTCAAGTTGAACTAAAGTTTTACTTTTCCTATTTTCATTTTTAAGTAAATTTGACCACATTACAGGAAACAGACTAGAAATAAAATGTCATGTCTCAAGAAGGGCTGGAGAGATGGCTCAGCTGTTCAGAGCATTTGTTGCTCTTGCAGAGGACCCAGGTTTGGTTCCCAGCCCCCACCTGCTGGCTCACAGCCATCCTGACTCCGTTCTAGTGACTGTGATGCCCTCTTCTCAACACAGCAATCACAGCATGCGTGCACATGATGAACTTACATGTGGGCAAAACACTCATAAAATAATACACATAAAATAAAATTATCTTTTTTTAAAGTTTATCTTAGTCACTGTTCTCTTGCTTGGAAGAGGCACCATGATCAAGGCAACTCTTATAAAGGAAAGTATTTAAAATAGGGGTTTGCTTACAATTTCAGAGGCTTTTATCATCCTGGTGGGGATTGTGGTGGCAGGCACAGCAGACATAGTGCTGGAGAAGTTGAGAGCTATATCCTCATCCACAAGCAGAAAGAGAAAGAGAGAGAGACAGTTAGACAGACAGAGACCGGGCCTGGCATGAGCTGTGAAACCTCAAAGCCCATCCCCAGTGATACATGTCCTCTAATAAGACCACACCTACTAATCCTTCTAATCTTATCAAAAAGTTCCACTCTTTCGTGACTAAACATTCAAACAGATAAGCCTAGAGGCCATTCTTATTCAAATCGCCATAAAATTGCATTGAGATCCACTTTGTTGTAACTGTTTAAGCCCTATTACTGAAGAAGTGCTGACTGGTTGTAGGCAAAGTGGCAATGGCTTAATATCTTTTTTCTATATTATCCAGAAATTAATATTTCTGATATTAATATCAGAAATATTTCCTCATATTGCTGCTTAGTCTTTCTGACTGCTTATTTTTATTTATTTATTTTTCTTTTGATCTGGTTCCACCATGTGGAAATAAAATAAAGACAGAAAGCTCATCTCTCTTCTTCCTTTCAGACAACTCGGCTTCTGCTGAGAACCCACAAGGCCTTGGGAAGCAAGGAGCCTCCAGGGCCGGGGCTGCAGAAGCCAAGCCTCGGGTCCCTGCACCTACTGAATCGCCCAGGAAGCCCCAGTAAACCTTAAAGAGCATGGAGGAAGTGAGAAGCAGCTTGTCCGTCTTGGAGGATCAAGCAAGACTTCTCCTGAGCTGGAGTTTGTAGCTGTTCTCTCTTTCCCTCACTTCATAGTGTTGACAACTCACATACCTACCTCACAGTGTGAGAACCCAGGCTAGAAACAAAAATACCCTTGTGGGTGAGATCGGACCTGGAGCGGGCAAAGAGAGGGTAAAATTCTGAGCACATGGAGTCAATTCAGGGCAAGTCCTGAAGCTGTAGCTCCTGTCTCAATTCCTGAGAGCCTTCCCAAGCTCGGGATGGAGGGCAGGTTTCTGCTGTCCTTCTGGGTCCAGCTGGTCTTTTCCAGACTCCATTTACACAGCTTACGTTGTAGACATCACAGACTTTGTGCACTCTGCATTATTTCTTACCTGGGTTTATACATAATCCCTTTTTGCACAGAACTGTAAATATAATTTAATTGACTCCCTTATTCTGAAATATCTCAATACTCCTAACAATGTTTGAATATCTCATTTTGTATCTGTGCAGTATTGGGTTTAAAAGCCATTTCGTACCTTTGCTTGACTTCTTGGTGCTAAACAATACTTCTTTTATGCTTCTTTAATCATCTGTTCAGGTGAGTGGTCTTCTCTGTCCCTGCTTTCTGTGTGTCTTTCTTGATTCTGTGAATTTTCTATGATGCATTTTGTTGCTGGGGCCTCTGTGCTGTCATCAGTACTGTGTCCAGGACATTCAAGTTTATGGTGCATCCTCAGCCAGCCTCACAGTTAATAATCTTCAGGCTCTCACCAGAGAGTTCTACCTCAGTCCATCCACTTCTCCTCTTTCTGTAAGCCTACCAAGCTCAGCTGCTGTATCTTGAAGGATGTGCAGCTCACGCCTTCCCCAGTTGTATCTCTCCCTTGTGTGGATGGGGACAGGCCGTCAGGAACCTATATGCACCTTGCTCATTTCATGGTCACTCCCTTCCTCCTGCCCTCCTCCAGCCTCTCTGCTGTCTTCTGCTGTTTTCATCCTGTGATTTGCAGATATTTGTTGTGCTCATGTTCCCCAATGTCTCTAGGTAAAGAGAAGGGTTTGCATTTCTTTCCATAACACGGCATTTGAGAAATAGGAGCAACTTATTTTTATCATGATGCCAATGAGAAGAGCAATGTAAAAATGTCCTTTCCAAATGAAAAATCTTTTAATGGACAGTAAACTTACCAACTTTGGTCTTTGCACTTTGATTGTCAATGAGAGTATTTCTGAAATTGTGTTTTATAGTCTTTCTTTTTAAACTTGTGTCTTTTTTCCTAGTGGTATTGTGTGTGTGTGCTGGGATCACATCCTGGGACTTGTCCATGTGAGGCAAAGTCCTCCACCAGCAAGCTACATCTAAGTCCTGGGGCTAAACTTAAAAAAAAAAAAAATAGGGCAGTCACAGTGGCTCATGCCTTTAATCCCAGCACTACAAAAGCAGAGGCAGGCAAGGCCACCTGATCTACACAGTAAATTCTAGGCTAGCCAGAGCTACATAGTGAGACCATGCCTCAAAAAGAAATTCCACTTAATTACTGTTTTTACTCTGTCATTCTCCTGAATATATTTTGTTGTTAGACATGTTAAGTCTTTAGTGGGATAGTATAGCTCAATGAATATCCCTTACATCAATAGAATGGGTAGACTTTTACATTATTGTTTTCTCATATATTATCACCATTGTGCTCTTATATTCGATGTTGGTCTATAATCATTGTTGTAACATTTTAGTCAGGTCTGTAATAATCCATTTTAGTTTTAGTTATCTTGGAATTTAGTCTAAAATTATCTTTTGTATGTATGTGTGATACTGGGAATGGGCTTAGGGCTCATGTGTGCTAGACAAGTGCTCTACCATTGAGCTGTATTCTCTGCACTAAAGTTATCTTCTGCAGTTGTTCCTAGACCAAGTCTGGCTGCTCACCCCCATGACAGGCACTGAGATAAGAAGGTGACTTTATCCACAAAGCTTCGAAGGAAGGAAGGAAGGAAGGAAGGAAGGAAGGAAGGAAGGAAGGAA